AATCAGTTAAATTGAAGAGAAGAGAAAGGAAGTTAAAATGTCATCAACATACCTTGGAGATTGAATCGAGAATCGAGAATCGAATCAGGAGTGGAGATGGAAGCAAGAATCGAGTGGAACCCCAACCGTATAACATTATGGTATTGAACGATGAATCTCACCTTGGAGATTGAATCGACGTCTTAAGGAAAATCGAATCGACGTCTTGGGGCTTGGGACATACGACGGGAGTGATATCAAAACCTCCGAAGTCTGGTTATATGCATCGATGAAGTATTCTTGGGAACCTCCCATTTGTGCAAAATTTGCAGTAATTGAAAAATCATACACTGAACTTACTGATTTGGGTTTGGCACAGGAACATTCATCAACAAGAAGCTGGAAAAGAAGAAGAAAAGAAAAAGCAATTTTGACCTAACCCAAAATGATTTGGCGGGGAAGGATTTTTCTAGAAAAGGAAGAGGAGAGAAAAAGAAGTCTGAATATTTACCACTCAATGCATAAAAGCTTGTACTTCATGCTTGATGACTTGTAATTAAGAGTTTTTTAAAAATCTTGCATAAAATAGTTGTAACTTAAGCTTAGTAACTTGTACTTAAGACTTTGTCTTAAATGGTTATATATGTAGTATAGATATATTTTTTTTTTGGAACCGCCTCACCATATATATATATATACTTTTTTTTATTCTTTAATTATATATATATATATATATATATAAAGTTTAATTATTTGACGGTTTTTACCCTTCAAGTTAAATTCCTAACTTTACGTCAATATAGGTATAAACACATTTTGACGCAAAACTAGTCTAGAGTACAAATTGGTTAATCATAGGGTACTAATATGTTATGCATAATTCTACCAAAATTCTCTTAACCCAATTTGTACGAGTTAACGAAAACACGGATATTATAATGATGCTTCCATTTCACCAATACCAAATCGATTGTCTTGTTCCGAAGATTTGTCGTTCTTTCGTTTAGAATTTCTTCTGGTTCCTTGATATATCTCAGTCGTTCGTCAATCTTCATCTCAGCTAAGGGAATTGTTTCATCATACTTACCCAAACATTTTCAAAGATATCCAACATGAAATACATTGTGAATACCAGACAACTCTTTTGGAAGTTCAAGTCGATATGCTTGTTTGCCAATACGTTCAATGATTTTGAATGGTCCAACGAAACGTGGACTATGCTTACCTTGCTTACCAAATCGTAGAATACCCTTCCAAGGGGAAACTTTGAACATAACCATGTCGCCCACGGTGAATTCAATTAGTCGTCGACGATTATCGGTTTACGACTTCTGTCTGTCTTGAGCGACTTTCATCCTTTCCCGAATAACTTGAATCTTATCATGCGTAATTTGAATCATTTTGGGTCCAGCAAGCACTTTCTCAYCCGTCTCAYGCCAACAYAGTGGAGTTCGAYATTTACGACCATATAAAGCCTCAAAAGGCGCCATACCGATAGTCGAGTGATAGCTGTTGTTGTATGAAAATTCAACCAATGGTAGATGCATATCCCAACTACCACCAAACTCAAGGATACACGCACGCAACATATCTTCTAACGTCTGTATCGTGCGTTCGGACTGGCCATCAGTTTGAGGATGATAGGCTGTGCTCAATGCCACGCGTGTCCCTAGTTCTCGTTGTAAACTGGCCCAAAATTTTGAAGTAAATCGATAATCTCGATCAGAAATTACCTTCAGAGGAAAACCATGTCGTGCAATAATCTCGTCGATATAAATTTGTGCCCATTTATCCATAGAATACGACTCTCGAACAGGCAGAAAGTGAGCACTTTTGGTTAAACGGTCCATGACAACCCAGATGCTGTCGTGCTGACGAGACGTCTTCGGTAGCTTTGTAACGAAATCTATTGTAACTATACGCTCTGGTTTCACACGATCAGGCTTCAAAGCCTCTACTTGCCATTTTCGTATGTTGTCAACTAGTGCGGATGTCACGGACGTATGTGTAATAACATAACACATGGAGTTTGCTTACGTCTTCTGGCTTAAAACATCTGCAACAACATTAGCTTTACCTGGATGATAGAGAATTTCACATTCATAGTCTTTATTCAATTCCATGGCTCGTTGTTGCCTCATGTTCAAAGTCTGTTGAATGAAGATATACTTCAAACTCTTATGATCTGTAAATAGTTGACATTTGGTACCATATAAGTAATGACGCCATAATTTTAGTGCAAAAACAACCGCTGCCAACTTAAGATCCTGAGTTGGATAGTTCTTTTCATAATCTTCCAACTGTCTTGACGCGTATGCAATTATGTTGCCTCGCTACATAAGAACACAACCGAGACCCAGTTTAGAAGCATCACTGTAAACTACCAAGTCGTCACTACCTTCTAGTAAAGCTAGAACAGGAGCATCTGACAAACAAAGCTTCAACACCTGAAAAACATTCTCTTGAGCTTCACCCCATTCAAACATGACATCTTTCTGGGTCAACGAAGTTAAAGGCACGACAATTTTAGAGAAATCCCGTATGAATCTTCTATAATAACCCGCAAGTTCAAGAAAACTATGAATCTCAGATGCATTCTTAGGTTGCTCCCAATTCTTTACAGCTTCAACTTTGGACAGGTCAACCAACACACCGTCACAAGAAATCGTATGACCTAGGAATTGCACCTGATGTAGCCAAAATTAAAATTTCAAAATTTTAGCATATAGACGCTCTTGTCGAAGTGTTTCAAGCATCTCACACAAATGCTTCACGTGATCCGCTTCAGATTTGAAATATACAAGAATATCGTCTATAAACACGAACACAGATTTGTCCAACATTGGCCGGCACACGCGATTCATCATATCCATGAATGCTGCAGGTGCATTAGTTAAACCAAATGACATAACTAAAAATTCATAGTGGCCATAACGTGTACGAAAAGCCGTTTTCGATTCATCTTTTTCACGCACTCTCAGTTGATGATAACCCGACCACAAATCAATTTTAGAGAAGTAACTCGCACCTTGCAATTGGTCGAACAAATCATCGATATGTGGAAGTGGATATTTATTCTTGATCGTTACTTTGTTTAACTCACGGTAATCGATGCACATATGCATTGAACCGTCTTTCTTCTTGACAAATAGTACTGGAGCACCCCAAGGAGAAGTGCTCGGTCGGATAAAACCTTTATCGAGAAGTTCTTGCAGTTGATTCTTCATTTCTTTCATTTCAGCCGGAGCCAGATGATACGGCGTCCTAGCAATCGATGTTGCACCAGGAATTAAGTCAATTCGAAATTCAACTTGTCTATCAGGAGGTAAACCGGGTAAGTCCTCGAGAAATTCGCTCGGACCTCCGTTTTTGACGTGGTTTTCGCTCACGCGTTCGTAAAGAGATAATCTACAACTTACAATAGAAATATTTCAAAAAATATCTTCCAATAAAAGTCAGTTTTTATGTATCCGTAACATAGATATTGATGCTTTTGACCCGTTTCTTTCCAATTGTTTTGCCCCGGGCCTCGTACGATGATTTCGACTATTTCATATATAGTTTATTGCATTCGGGTTTGCTTCCAAATTTTACGTTTTGATCACATAAACACGTATAAAGGGGATAATTGCAATGTATTTGCGAAAGTGTATGTTACACCACTGCAGCTAATTCCATGTCATGGGTTGGATACTGCTTCTCATGATCTTTCAATTGTCTTGACGCATAAGAAATAACTTTTCCTCTCTGCATCAGAACACATCCTAACCCTAATTTTGAGGCATCGCTGTAAACCACAAAGTCTTCAGATCTATCTGGTAGAGTCAATACCGGTGCGCTACAAAGATGATCTTTTAATAGTTGAAAAGCTTCTTGCTGTTCTCCTTCCCACTGGAATTTAACGTTCTTCCGAGTCAATTTAGTCAATGGCACGACTATATTAGAAAAGTTTTGATAGAACTTACGGTAATAACCAGCCAATCCCAAAAAGCTTCGGACTTCAGAAGGATTTTTTGGAGCTTCCCATCTTGCAACTGCTTCTATTTTCGCTGGATCTGCTTTTACCCCTGTTTCTGAGATGACGTGACCCAGGAATTGAATTTCTCTCAACCAGAATTCACACTTAGACAATTTTGCGTACAACTTTTCTTTCTTCAATAATTCTAATATCAGACAAAGATGTTTCGCGTGCTCTTCTTCAGTCTTAGAGTATATAAGAATATCATCGATAAATACAATAACAAATTTATCAAGATATTCCTTACATACCCTATTTATCAAATCCATAAAGGCTGTGGGCACATTAGTTAAGCCGAATGGCATAACTAAGAATTCATGATGCCCGTACCTTGTTCTAAATGTTGTTGTGGCAACATCTTCTTCCCTGAATTTA